GTCGGCCCGGGCTGAGGGATGCACAAGCACCGCAGCGGGGAGCTGCCGCTTTCAAGGAGCTTGCTCCGGGGGAGGAATTGAAACGCGCTTTGATTTCTCTAAAAAGCCCTGCACGACTCAACCCCAACCGCCTCGGCCCGTGCTCTATTATGTGAGATGCATTAAAAAAAAAAAATAAAAAAAAAATCCTTGCCTCTGCGGGGGAAGGGAGCTGAGGCAGGGCCGGGAGCAGCGCCGGGGGCTTGCGCAGGGTCCCGGGGCAGAGGAGGGGGCGCCAAAAAGGGGTCCCAAGTGCAGGCAGCTCAGGCAGGGATGGCCGGCCAACTATCCTGGGGGGTCAGGTAGGCACAGGAGGACACCCCACCCCCTTGGATTGGGGTGTTTCAGCAGGGCAGGAGGCAGAGAGTTTTCCCTGGAGCAGGTTTTCTCTGCGACACAGGGGCAGGAGATTGCGAGACTGTTGGTCCGGGGGGCATTTCAGACGCCTCCCTGTAACGAGCTCCGGGGCGAAGCTCCGTCACGGACACAAACACACACACACACGTGTGTAATTCTCACCCTTCGTCGCAGGAAGGGATGAGCCATGTGCTATAAATACTCCTCCAGGGCCAAAGGAAATAGCAAGGCAGCACAGAAGAGGGGTCTGGGCACCAGCAGAGCCCTTCAAGGAAGATGGTGGAAGCGGTTGACAGGCGGGTTATTAATAGCTCGGCCGCTACGGCATTTCTTCCAGCAGCAGAAGCAGGCAGTGGGCGAGCGCTCTCCGGCCCGGGAAGCACAAGGAACGTCTTTCCTTTCTGAGCCCCATCTTGCACAACCGAGTGGGTTCGTTATCCCTCCAAACCCACGCGTTACGGAGGGGCGGAAGAGGCGTCGGAGCCAGATCCGCGGCAGAAAACGCATCTCCAGCGCCAAGGGGCACGAGGCCGCGCTCTGCTCTGCCCCTGCTTTCCCTGCCCAGGCAAGCGCTTCTGCAAATCCTTTCCAAAGCGATTCACAAGGCAGGCAGGAGCTGATCTACTTTGTGGGGAGGGAGGGACGTGGGAGGGGAGGGGGCCGCACAGCTTTGCAGCAGAGCGCTGATGAATGGAGCCTTTGTGCTCGCTGCTGCAGCGCCGTTACCACGTCAACCTTCAGCGGAGGCAGAAAACGGGCCAGCTCCGCTCCCCCCATCCGCCCGACCCCGGCTCCCTTCGTGCGCTGCCTTTTGTCTGGGCCACCAGCAAGGACTCGACACGCAGCTCCGCAAATAGCTCCAGATCTGGGTCATCTCATACGGCCAAAGCGCCGTTCCCCGGGTGCGGACACAGCCCCACGCGCGCCAGGGGTGGCCGTGTTTGTACCAGGGTGCCTGGGAGCGGGGCAGGGCACGCAGGGGCGAGCGTATCACCCCTTCAGCGGGTTCCTGGGAGCAGCAAGCAGCCAGACAACACTTCACATGCCCAACTATTTTCGGTCCCCAGAGAGGGTAAAAATCTCCTCTCCCCCCCCGTCCTGCACACAGAGATGCGAAAGCCCTAAGCAAGATCTCTGCCAGGTACGGAGGAGCTTCCCCAGCCCACACTGGGGCAACTTCAGGGGGAAAGAGAGTGATTTTCAGGTAGCCTTTAACCCCCACCTGCAAAACTCGAGTCCCTTTAGGGCAGCCTTTGATACGGAGCCGCTTTCAGAAGCGGCCAGCAGGACTGCAGCCGCTGGGAGCGCAGAGCAGGTCCTCAGCACGCAGCCTGCGCTACGCAGGGGGTGTCGGAGCCTGCTGGTGAGCTCTGCTGGGGACGGGATGCGGCCGCAGCGCTCGCGCATCAGCGAAGAACCGGCTTTACCTTCAGGTCCGTGTTGAGAATCCAGATGAACGTGCAGACCCTGGGGTTGCTGGGACATTTCAGTACAATGAATCCTCCAGGCCCGTTCTCACCCCTGCGGGGAACCAAGAGCACAGAGTCAGAGCCGGGGCCGGCTGAAAAGCCGTTCTCTAACGCTCCGGGGTGCACCGCACCGATCCTGCGCTAGCTCCTGCGGCAGCAGCCACCCCCTCCGCCTGGCAGCGAGGACTAGAGCCCAGCGGGGGTGAGAGCAGATGCGCAGAGTGCCCGGGAAGGTATCTGCTTTGGCCGCAGGCACACGAGCAAGCACGGCAAGGCAGGTTTCCCACAGGTGCCTTGGCAGCGGCGGTGCCAGGGCTGCCGCAGGGCTGTGGGCTGAGAAGCAGGCTCTGCCTCCGGACCGTGCCAGCCCAGCCGACACCAGCTCTTCACCGCGGGGAGGTTTCCAAGGCGCAACCCTGTGGAAATGGGTGCAAACAAGAGGTCTCAGGAAAGCCGAGAAGCCAGGGAAACCCTGCGCAGTCAGGACAGGCTCGGCGCGGGGAGCCTTGTCACTACAGCCCCCAGATCCTTCCTCGCACCATCTGATCCATCTCAGAGACAAGAGCTGTGCTCGCACACACAGCCCAAACACAGATTTCCCTTCCCTGTTCAGGAACACACTATTTTTGCTGCATACATTTGTAAAAAGATTTTTCTAGGCCCTGAAGTCCCCAGCTCTTAAATAGACTGAGGCAGCTATAATGGCTCCGAGTTAAAATGTCAATTACTTTAACCAGATTATTAGGAAAAACAAAGTCAGTGCGCGAAGTGGCACAGCTGGGCCCCAGGCACCGGAGCAGACAGTTAACAAGGAGTCCTTGTTTGATGAGACTAGCCCCGCCGAGATCCATCACCAGCCGGGCGAAGCTGTCCCTTCGGAAGGGGAGAGGCCAAAGACCTGCCGACACTTTATGAGCCAGTCCGTTCTGACGCAGCTTGTTTCACCCACAGGACCATCTCCCAATGTCCGTAGCCTTTAAAGTCGGTAAGTGACTGGCTTAGGAGAAGCAAAAGGCATCCGAGAGGCACAAAGCGAGCCACAGTCAGCTGTTTACTGCCCCTCAGAAATGGCAGCTGGCCCTGTTTGGGAATTAACAGCTACATAAACAGGATGCGGACCGGGTTGGGGTTTGTGCCGTTACCGGTCGGCACCTCCACTCCCCTGAGCAGAGAGCTGGGAAACGCCCGAGCAACACCAAACAGCACAGAGAGTTTCTTTAACAAAGGAAGAAGAACAAGGGAAGCAAGGTTTAGTTCCACAAATAGATTAGCTTCCTGCAAACGCTGCCAGAAAGACAGCAGGGTTTTCATTTAAGTGGCTCTTTGCCCTAAGCTTAAGCAAAGTGCGTGTGTCAGATACCAGCTAAAAAAATAGAACCTGCCTCTTACCTGACATACTTGGAGAGCGGAGGCTTCAGGCTGTGCGTGGTCGACATCCCTGAGGAAATGTACCTGTCTCTTCTTCTCTCGATCCGGCGCACGTTCACGAAATCCCTAAGCAAAGAAAGGGCCCCGACTGCTTTAAAAACGTGCACGGGACTTCGAAGGGGCAGATCCCGCTCTCCGGACTGCTGGGAAAGGCTGTGGCAGAGGTATGTCAACATACGGACAAAGCACAGCGCAGCACTGTTATCAGGGAGACCGACTGACTGACGGAGGCAGATTTTGAGCTCCGAGACTCCTGCCAGAAACGTCTGGAGGAGAATTCAGGGGCTCCTTGCCTTTGGGAGCGTTACCCGCACAGCCAGCCAGCCCTGCCTCGTTGACACTGGGAGCTCCCAGCCAGCGAGGAGCGGCAGAGCTGGGGCAGAGCGCTCTCACTACAGTCGGATGCCTCTCTCCGTATTTTAGGAGGGTGTTTAGGGGCTCAGTACAAAACAGACAGTGGAATAAACTGACCTTGGGGAAATGACACCGCCTGCGGCCCCAGCTGCCACGTCGTATGAGACGATGGTGTTGTGTAAAAAATTTCACCACCGCGTAGCGATGTGGGGGGGGGGGGGGAGAACACCAAAACAAAACAAAAGAAGAGAGATTTCCTCAGACTGTGCCTGCAGGTCTGCACAAGCCAACAGTTGGGCGAGACGGACCCTCCCCTAAAACAGCAGCAGGATTCAAAGCAACTGGAGTGTCTTTAGCAGCTGATCTGAGGCTGAGGGGGATGAACTCTCTGGCAGTGCGCGCACGGGTTTGTCTCCTGCCCTGGGACTGGTCCCTCTGCCTTTCTGGGGCGGCACAGGCGTTGCCTCCGGATCCCCGCCACACCAACGGTGCAAAACGCCCAAACCCTACCAAGCAAAAGCAGGCTTGGCTCAGCCGCTGGCCCATCTCCCTGCCCACCTCATGGGCTTTTGGATAGGCACACGCATGCAGCTGGCTACCGCAGAGCATTCGGATCGTACGGATGAGCGGCAGAGATTTCACGCCTCAGTGACTCGGATCCAGCTAAGCTCCAGCAGGGCCTGGGCACCGCCGACAGCCGGTGTTGGACTGGGAAGCTCCAACTCTCCGCTCCAAGGAGCTCCTGTGATTAAGCCATCTTTGTCCGGCACGCTCACCTGGCAAGCTGCCACTGTTCTGTTCCACAGGATCATCTTCTCAGGCTGGAGAATAACCTCCTGGTAAACTGTTTCAGCAGAGCACTGCAGGAAAGCCTGAGGACAGAGCCAGAGCAGTTAGCCAGTCCCCCGCTCCGCTTTGCTAAGATTATTTTTAAGGAACGCAGGGCAGATCGCAAAGAACAACTGGGATAATACAGGAGGGCAGCGGCGAGGCTGGCCTGGCTCAAGCGCACGCAACGCCAAGGTTGTCACCCCTCCGCCACAGTGCTCCCGTTCCCAGGGGCCCGGAGGGCACACGTGGAGTCAGGGAGGACAGACCAGACCTCAGGTTTCAGCAGTCGCGGAACTGCTGCCTGCCGAGGTCCGTGCTGGTGTAAGAGAGGGCAAGCGTCTGTCAGTCCGTAACACAGCGAGACGGACGGACCTTGGGGCTGACTTAGGCTGGCTCCTCTCCCACCCTCACCCCGCTTTATCAGCGGCTCTGCTGCGTGTGCAATTGCTTCGGGAAGTTGCTGAAAAGCTATTCTGAGCTCCAGCACAGACGACATTAATTTCTCCACGTCCCCGTGGGACAGGGGATCTTTGGAGGCAAATGGTTAATGCAGTAAAGTGGGACCATCCAGCTTTTTCTCGCGAATACAGAGCTGCTCCATTGGCAGCTCCTGCCAGCGAGGCAACATATGCACTGGAACAAAGAAAAGCCACCGCAGCACCAATGCTTCATTAAAGCGTGGTTTACAGCCAAGCCACTCCAGCGAGAGGGCACAGAGCAAGGCACTTCCGAGCAGCTCTTCTCAATGCCAGGCAGCAGCAGACGCACGCTCAGCCCTGGTCTTGCTGGCAATTAGTTGCAATTAGCCTCCTTGGTCAGATTAGTCCTAGATGCTGGGGTTGGAAGCAAGTCTTGCAGTCACCTGCTCCCGCTTCTACCAGCGGAGACTGGGGCCCAGCATATTTGCTGGGGAGTTTGTCTGCCAGCCAAGGGGCTTTCCTGGAGAGATTCCCTAGAGCGTGCAGTGCAGTTCACCTGTCTCAAGCAGAGAGTGCGCTTTGCAGCCTGACCTGTCCTGCCAGGGCCAGGAGAGAGCGTGAAAGCTGAGCCGTGGCTCTGAGCAGAGCAGTCGCTCTTCGCTCGTACCTCACAGACTAAGGAAGTGATCCAGGAAGGTTCTTACCTTTAAAATAAAGGTCTTGCCATGGAAAGGTATTTCAAAAGTGTAAACAACGTCACCAAAGTCCTGTGCAAGAAATAAGAAAGTTACATTTATGTTAGCAAAATAAATTGCTTCTATCTGGGGTAAATTCTGCTAGTCTGCAAACGCTGCGGCTGCAGGAGCCGTCCCGCCTCGCGTGTCGTTCTGAAGGACCCTCTCCAGCCCTCAGCTGTCCCCTGTCCCCCCACACCAGGCAGCGACCCCAGCACGGGAACTGCACCGAGCACATTTCAGATGCACGTGCACAAATTTCCATAAACAAAACAATATCCAGAGCGGCAGCAGTGATGAGACAGAAAAAGAATCCGCCCTATGCCAGCCTGCAAACTCCACGTCAAGGTCAAATTCTCTTTGTAGCAAGCTACCAACACCAGGGTAAGAGAAAGGGGTTAGTTTGCCAACACTGCTGTTGTTACCTACATCTGAGAAGAGACTCCCTGGAGGGGTTAGGGATGGACAGATGATAACCTTTCATCATTAGCCCTGTGTTAAACTCTGATTAGTCTATTTAAATCCATCCCCCTTTGGATAAAGAAAACAATCTGCCCAGCTAGTTTGGCATCAGACAATGGATCACTTGACAGGGGAATTTTAAACACCAGATGAGACTGCAGTTTGCAGGACTCTCACCCCAATCATGTTGCGAGCCCACAAGCAGAAAGCAAGGTTGGTTTTAGGGGGCAGAGACGCTGCCCCTTTCTCTCCACCCTTTGCAGAGAGAAAGGAGCTCTAGGTACCCCAGAAAACTCTACTGTAGTTCAGGGAACGAACCGGCACGGTGAGGAAAGAGGCAGGGCAGGGCCCGCTTTGCTTCGTGCGCCTCCGTGCTGCCCGAAGCAAGAGGCACGACTTGCAGACCCCTTTGGCAAAGCCACAGTGGAAAGATGTAAGGCAGAGACACATCCCCGACTTACACTCCAGCACCCGCAAGGTCCCTGTCCTGGGGAAGGGGGGGACACAAACAGCTTTGGGGGTGGGAGGAGCAGTCTGTGCCCCACGCTCTCCTGCTCCCACGTGGGCCAAAGCTGGCCAGAAGGGCCAGACCCTAGCTTGGCTTGGTCTCCCCAGGATGCTCAAAGGCACCTTGCTGTGGAGCAAGGGCAGAAGCTGCAGCAACGGGACCCTCCAGCACCGCCGCAGGGCCGGCATGCCTCCACTCCTCCCCACGCCGGCAGCCACCGCTCCGCATCCCAACGCCTACCAAAGGTGAGCTGTCCGCCCCTGCCTGCCTGCCATCTAGAGGGAGGAGTGATGGGCTCTCTCCTGTCAAACAGGAAGGCAATTAAACGTCTAATTAAATAAGAGGGGATTTTACATTTAACTGAACTGGAATAGATTCCTAATTCAATCAGGTAATTGTAACGCTTGTTAATTTTCCATGTCGCGAGGAGGTTTCAAAAGCCTCATTTGTCCTCCCGTTTTTGCTAAGCCATCCGTGCTTTCTGCCGGCAGCGCTGCCCGGCAGGTGGGGCGGGGGGACACTTGCATTGTTTTTCTCGAACTTCCAGTTCTCCTCCTGGGCGAGGATTTGGTCCACAACCTCCATTGCTTCTTTGCCTTGTCGGACGTATTCTTTCTCCTAGGAGAGAAGGGAGCATTTCATTAGCCGGGTTTGCAGAAAGCCTGAAGCGGGCGTGCAAGGCTTGCCACCCCCCTCCCGGGGCTGGCAGAGGGAAGGGGGATATCTCCCATCACCACACCACAGAAATCTCTTAATTTGGGTCACAGAGGCCTCATTTTGGAGCTCAAAGTCACGCTCCCCGCCCTGGCTTGTATCCACGCACCAGCTGCGTCTACCAGTGAGCCTCCCACCTTAACGTAAGGGTTTCCAGCAGGCAAAGGGCTACGAGATGCACAGAGCTTCCTCCTGTGGAGGTGCCATAACTGGGGCTGAGCGGCAGCAGAACCACTTGGAAAAAAATACAAAGCAGCCTGTGCCCAGCCAGGCTTCGGGGAGGCGAAGGACCGCCCCGCGAGGCACAGTTCAGTGGGGACAGCTGAGGCGATGCCCTTCTCGGCATGTGACCGCCTAACCAGGGACCGAAGAGGGGAGAGGGGGACAGACAGGAGGCAGAGCCAGACTCACGTCCCTGCGGGATGCTGCAGGGAAGAGCGCGCGGCCCCGGGGAAGGGGGTTAACGTCGGGTGTTACCCAGAGGACCCCCTCCTGCGGCAGGCACGACGGCACCGGGCCCCGGGCACCAGGGGA